GATGGTTTTAAGAATGCGGGCATGGATTGGATAATAAATTGATCAAATTAAAAATTTAACTTAATATCCAAATACTAATAATCAGATTTGTCATTTCATTTATTTATCAACAGAAAAATAATTCTTGCGATTCAGAAGCAATAATTTAGATAATTTGAATAAATATGCCCTGTGATATAATGGTCAGTGGGAAAATGATAAATAGCATGGTAAAGGTGTAGAATACTGGCCAGATAGATAGAAATATAGAGGTTACTGTTTTGAAGGTAAAAAACATGGAAAAGGTATCTTAAATTTTGTTAATAATTCTAGATGTGTATATACTTATTATTCTATTTTTTTTTAGGGGATTTCTTCTAAAATGTCTGCAAGGAGAAGGAACTTATATTTGGCCAGAGAATAGAGTTTATAAAGGATAATGGAAAAATAATAAAATTCATGGCAATGGCAATGGATAAATGATTTTGCAAGATAGTCGTCAATATATTGGTGAAATGATTCTCATATTTAAATGAAGAAGATAAAAAACATGGTAAAGGTGTCTTTGTATGGTCTGATGGTAAAAATTTATAGAAACCTGGAAATAAGGTTGTATTATGAACTTATTTCTTAGGAAAATTACATGAAGTTGGAATCTATTATTTATAAAATAAAGCTCTAGTTGGTGAATGGAATGAAGGAATAAGAAATAAGCGGTTTGAATAAAATGAAGTTGATTAATTAATTAAAGAACAAAAAATTAAAAGAGAAGATTTGTTTTTATAAAATTGATACATCTCAAATATATCTAATCTTAAATCTTATCATTTTATGTCTTTGATTTGTAATTTTATAAAAATATGATTGTATAAAATATTCATTGACATTGACATACATATCCCAGTAAATTTATTTCATTTACAAGATGATATTGTACTATTACAACCTAATCTAGAGTTCCTCTTATTTACAATTCAAAAATATATTGGTTGTTTTGCATTTACCGTCAATAAGGTTCAGTTAATTTTTAAACATTATCCATCAATAAATTTAATAATGTTAAATAGCTTAATTGTATGATAATCTATTTTACACTAATTTCCCACATCAGTGTCACATACAACCAGATCAGCTTTTCTACAATTAGTCTTTATTTTTATATACTTTATAGTTTAAAGATTGAACTACACTTCTTACATTAAGAATCAAAAGAACATGAACGCTCCAAATATTTGCACAAATACTTGGAGTGAAGATATACATCAAACAATAATCATAATTGAGTTTTACCCTAATTACTTTAAATTAGCTAAAGTTTTGGCTTGAATACTCAAAAGTAATGTCTTTAAAAGACCTTTTAATTAAATGGACTTCTGATTGATAAAAAACCTAACTCTTTATTCTTACTATTACCCCTCTTTGCGATTATCAAAAACAAACCAATTAAACTGAATATTTTGTCATTAAGCTCCACTGTTAGCTTCGGCTTTTCTAACTCCAGTAGATTGTTCTTTTTATTCATTCTCTTGATTGTAGAATAAAATCTTAGTTTCTTGACTTTTTTGGTGGTAAAAACAATATAAAAAATAAGATAATATTTTAATTAGAAAACTTAAACCTTAATAATTAGGATACTACAATAAATATTGATGGACTTGAATATCAAGTTGAATTAATAAAGGATAAATTCTAAAATAATTCATGATATTTTCTAATCCTTTTATATCGTTTTGGCTGGCACCTAAACCAAGACAACACAAGTTGGTTTTTAGTTTATGCTTTAGTTCCTAAATTGATAAATATTTATAATTTCATAATTCTAATCTGCTTCTCATATTAACAGGTGGTATTAATAATGCTTCTGTGATTGTATTGGAACATATTAATTAAACATTTTAAATAGAAATGATACTTTAATTAAATTTAAGATCTCAAACTTAATCTTTCTGAATCCAATTTCAAATAATACAAAGAAATCTTTTAAGAATGCTAAATAATTAAAATAATTCATTAAGAAATATTAAATTTCATATATGCCTTGAAATTTATTTTAATACGTGAACAAGTTTTAAAATTATTATTTTTTAACTATATTATTATTAGATCATACAATTATGCTGGCATTTGGGTCTTTGAGGCTATTTATTTAAATAATTTTTTAATCGGCTTATAATGATGAATTAGAATTTATAGAAAGTTTTTGTATAAATCTCCCATGTATCTTAATTTCTTAAATAAAAATGTAATGATTATATGTATAAATTTAATTTAATGATAAGAGAGCTTTAGATAAAATGTTCTATTGAAGAACATGATTAAGTTGAATTAGCTTGCTTGAATTAAACATGTAAAACTAACAGAATTTATTGCCATTAATGTCTTAAGAATGGAGATGGAGAGGAATTAATTAAATATTTTAATTATATTGAAAAAGAAAGTGAAAATTAAATAGCAGAATTAAATTTGATGGTTAAAAAATTAAATAAGCTATTCACTTAATTAAAATAAGGATTAAAAAAAAATATCAATTATCTAAAGAGATATTGCTATAATTGGATACAAAACAATTGAATTTAGTATTAGATTGGGCAATCAAATATGATGAAAATAAAATAAGCTTATCAGAAGATGTAAAGAAATGTCAAATGATATTATCTTATAATTAAACAAAAATATCAAAGAATTGAAACTAGAGGAATTAAATAAATTAGAATAAGAAAAAGTAGAAGAATTATTTTAAAAAGGTAATGAAATCATTAATTTAGGATACAAATTATATTATAATGATAATAAAGATCAAGAAGCAATAAAATTATTAGATGCTGCATTGCTTATTGATCCTAGGCATGTCAATTCATTAAATTTAAAAGGTGAAAAATCATACATAAATATATTAGCTGATTCTTTAAGAATGATTGGTAATTATAATGATGCAATTATATGGGCTGATAAGGCTTTGACTATGAATTCAAAGCATGTTTATTCATTATATTCAAAAGGTATAAAAACACAAATAAATTTATGAGCTGATTCTTTAAAAATGCTTGGTAATTACAATGATGCAATTATATGGGCTGATAAGGCTATGATGATAGATTCAAAGCACGTCAATTCATTATTTACAAAAGGTAATTTAACCATTCTAATTTAGGTGATTCATTAAGAATGTTGGGTAAATATCATGAAGCTCTCAAGCTTTTAGACCAAACATTGAATTTTGATCCAAATAATATTTTCTCTTTATACACTAAGGGTTTATTATATTTTCAATTATATAGGAGCCTGTTTACAATAATTATCAAATTATTCAGAAGCCATTGAATACTACAATAAGGCTATTTTAATAAATCCAAATTTTTACCTTTCTAAATATTAGAAAAGTATAGATAAACTTATATCAATAGCTGAATGTGAAAAATAACTCAACAAAAAATGGTGGTGGTAAAAGTGATTAATCAAAAATATAATTTATATAAATTCATGAATATATGCGTTGTTTTAATAGCAATGTAGAATATTTATCATAGTTTTTATCAAACCATGCACTTCAATTCAAAAAACTAAAACTTTTTATTGAAAGTTTTATTCATTTTTTAATTAAAAGGAAATTTATTTCAATTAATCTTTATTCTAATTTAATTTTTTTTAAATTAAAAGTGGTTACGTGCAGAAGCTACACATTAAATTATAATTAGATCATAATTTTCATACATCAAACATAAATTTATTAGTAATCTCATCCTGATTATTAATTTTCATTTTCTGTTATTAATAAGGCAATTAATTAAATTACTTTTTATATAATTATATTATGATCCAATAATAATCATAAATCGAGTAAAATAACTAATAAAAGCACTTCAATTATTAGATTCTACTTTCACTATAGCAATAATATCCAATACATACTTTTACATAAGCTATAAATAATAATAATACTCTATTAGTTATAGGATCTAATCTTGTTTGCAAGGTAATATATTTAAAAAAGGAATTAAAATATTTGCAACAAAATAAAAAGCATAGCAATTCAATTTCTACTCTCAATTTCTTTAAGCGCAAATCATAATTCATTTCTGGTTCATATGATTCATCAATTATTATTTAATCCTCAAATCTTTTATAAAATCTCAAATACTTAACAAAACTAAAAGGACATATGCGTGGTATTTTATGTTTAGTTGTAGATCCTAATTCAGAAAACTTAATTATTAGCGGAGCTACTGATAATTCTATTAAATTTTGGTCTTATTCATAATACTCAACTTGGTCTTGCTCATAAACTATTCGAGAACATACTAGTTTTGTATTTGGGTTATCTATAAACCAAGATGGTACAAAATTAGTTTCTTGTGGTAGAGATAAACAAATTTTGTTAATGGAAAGATTTAATGGATAATTATGGTATGTTAAACAAAAGATTTCTGAGCTTAGTTCTCGTATATCATTTATTACAAAAGATATCTTTGTATTTCAACCATCCAATGGAACACATTTATAATTCTACACAATCGAGCAATCGACTGGATTATATACAAAAACAAAGGAACTAAAAGTTTAAGGAACTGCATAAGGCTGTTACTATTATTTTCCCTAAATTTATATACCTTCTAGATAATTACTTATTTCTAAAAATGGATATTTTATAAATTTAATATAGTTTAACTTTGATTCTGAAAATTGGAATTGTAAATATGTGGAAGGAATAGAATTTGATTAATGTGAAAATTTTGGAAACATTTTTGGGACTATGAGTGATAATGGAGAATATTTGATAATTTTGGATTGCAAGTCTGGAAATATAGAAATAAGATAGTATACATATTAAAAATGATATGAATTATTTATAAATTATTAATTATTATTTTTAATGAATTTTTTTGCCATTCAAATTCTTGACTTTCTCCTCTTCGACAAAAACACTTCAATTAGGATATCCTGCATATTCAGATAGAAAATAAAATTTTCAAATTTAATGGTAAATTATGTTACCATGATTTCGATGCAAATATGATCAACAATTATTAAAATGAAAATATTAATAATATGGAAGCCTATTATATAATACTCAAACTCATTTATGTGAAAAGATATTTAGAAGAAATAGTAGTGGAATACCATTTTATAATCAAAACGCACATGTTTTAAATTATTTTTAAGTAACCTGCAACTATAATTCAAGAGCAGATAAGTTTTAAGATCTAATATTGCATATCAAAAGAGAGTTCTATGATATTAAAATCTGATAATTCAGGAAGCTATTATGATCCCAATTATTAATAGTTCATTAGTTTTTGATTAATAATTGATGAATCTAATTAAATAAATAAGAATGGGATTCATAGATTTTGTTAGAACTAGCCAAAACTACTGTTAATTTTGAAATAAGAAATATATTGCATATTTTGATATTAGAAATTAATATTTTGAAATCGATAATAATCTTATTAAATGAAAAAAAACTATAAAGGATTCGTTTATAGTTTGTATACAGAGACAATAACCTATTCATTTTCAGGATTAAACGCTTATTTATTTACTTAAATTGATTTATGAGTATAAGGAATTATTTTAATATAAATAAAACCTATTTGATATTTTTAAATTAATTGTTTAGCAAATAAAAAATTTTCTCTAGAAAATCGATGTTTAATCTATATCATACATTAAAGAAAAGCCGTTTGGATTATAATTCATAATATGCTAGTAAGAATATATTGATTTATGCAAATGAATGTGTTGCAATTAGAATGAGATAATCGTATTATGATTCTAAAAGATATCCATTGGTTGATAAAGTTGTTTGAAATTGAAGAAGTATTGTATTGATAGTGGACTTTATACAACAGTAAGTAGGATCCTGATATATGCAGATTATGGATAGTGATGCCAACGAAATACGCTGAAATTTATTTTAAATTATAGAAATAACTATTCAATTTAAGAGTTTAGATAATAGTCATAATAAAAAAATTATTTTTATATTTATTCCAATGCAGTTTGTTTCTTTTCTTATTATTAACTTTAAAGAATAGAATCATCTAGTTTAGAAGAGTTTCATAGATATTTTATTTTTTTTTTGTTTCAAATACTATTAATACTGGAGAACTTGAAGAAGAAAGGATGAGGACTAATAAAATTATAAAAATTATTAAGGCTACTGCTTTAAATAAAAAAAAATTAATTAAAAAAGTTCCCAGGTCTAGGTATGTTATTGTCAGACAGTAGATTCCTTCTTCCAAACATCGGTTTGGCATCTTAGATAATACTTCGAGTCCAGTCTACTGAAGAAGGCGCCCTATTATTAGATGCTAGGATGAAATGGATATTCCGTATAGTGTCAGAAGTGATTATCCCCGTAGGTGCTTAAGGAAATAAATGTTTTTTGTTAGAAAAGTGAGTATTAAGATAAAACTAGGATAAAATGAGCATTCATCTCCTCCAATTAAGTTTCCATCATCATATTGTTCATTTTGTAAATCAAGGATTCCATACCCACATTAA